CTTAGTTTTTTAATATTTTAGGTTTAAAACATCATTTTTTGGTGTTTAAAATATATAAATATTTATATATTTGTGTAACACAGTGTATATTTAGGTTTGGGTACTGTGAAACATAACGTCTTCTGCAAAATGTCTTTGTGAGAATTGTTCTGACCCCAAGAAAATGTCTTTGTGAGAATTGTTCTGACCCCAAGATACTTTAGGAATTTGGCTTGAGGTAGAAATATATCCTAAATGCAATATATATACTTTTTTTACAGGGCTGCTTAAAGTTTTTAAAACTCATCATTAGATTTCTTTGTGTAATTAAACTCCATTTTCCCCTATCAGTCCCTGAAGTGGGACAATTATATATCCTGAGGGCTTAGTACTGATTATGCTTGTAAGTTTTTCTTTATGTTCTATTTAACAGAACTATAGATCACAAGAAATATGGGATTTTCATCAAAAACATAATCCCCGCAACAAGCTTTCCCCTTTGTATGTGTTAATACCATTTTCTGCATTGTTTAACACATCATGTCTAATATTTTTATGCTTTGTTTCAGAAGGACTGGTTCAGAGACAGCAATCCTCTGAATGCCAGTGCTAGGAGGCAACATCAGGGGAAGGCCTTGGTCTCTACACCCTGTTTGATGTCCCTCTAGGGCAGTTGTTTGACTGCTGTATGAAACAGGTTGCTTGGCTAGATGGACCAGTGATCTGATCCAGCAGGGTTCTTCTCATGCTAAATAGCCGCTAAAAAAACAGCAAGAGCATGGGATGGAGGGGTGCTCTAATCACACAGCTCAGATGAACACGATGCAGTTTTTCTAATGCCCAATGGATAACAAAGGTGGTACTAGATGACCATCCCTCAGAAGTTCCATTAATGAAGCTTTCTTTTCCGTAGCCACAACTAATGTCCAAAAGGTAGGGTAATCTGATGAAAAGTTCCAACAGATCTCTCAGTTGATGGGCATGTTCATATTGGAGAATACAGCCCTTTCCATATTTGCATTTACCATAAATGAGAACAGGCACATTTATTCCATCCCTTGTATGAGGCCTGCATCTCAGGAAGGCTCATAGCTTATCCATTCCTCTGGCAGCTGTTTCAACATGGAAACCACCTGCCAGCCACAAGCCCCACCAGGCAATGATCTTACCCAGTTTCATGAAATATGGGGTGGGTGCCACATTGGGGGATGGTGCTCAGAAGAGCCACATATCACAGAGCCACAAGTGGCTCCTGAGCCACTGCGTGTCACTGCACTAGACTCAGATGGACACACACAATACATATCTTTTTTAAAAGTCCCTATGTTTTCCCTAATATAATGCAGCTGGAAACGAAAGCATTCCATAATAGCTCAACCTTTAAGCAGCACATACTTATGTCCTGCAGTGCTTTCCAGAAAAGAGGTGCTGTAAACAGGATTCCTCAGCCGATTTCAGTACCTGAGGGAAAATACAGTTGGCCAAGAACCTTTGGAGGTTCCAAAGTGCTTAGCAACTGGCAATTCAAATGGCAACATCATATGAAGATATGAGTCTGCCTTATACCATGTCAGAACACTTACTGGACTATCTAACTCAGTGTAATGTTCTCTGATAGGCAGTGTCTCTCCAAGAGCTCAGGCAAGCAAAGGTCTTTTCTAGGGTTGGTAGCTGGCACCTGGCAGAAAACTCTGGGGGCAGGGGCATGGGGGGGGTTGTTGGAGTGATCCTGTGAATCTGTAAGTTATGTCATTGCATCAACATGACACCCTAGGATTCACGGGGAACTCTGTGGATTTTCTGGTGTAACCTAGAGTGTTGCAGCAACATAATGATGTCACTTCCAAATTTAAACCGGATTTTACACCATCGCTCCTATGTCATAAGCCCTCCCCCGCCCTACCAAGCAATGCTTGCTGTGGGGAGGTTTCCCACTACAGTGGAGACCTTGTCTTTTCCATCATCCATTACCTGAAATCCTTTAGCTAGAGAGGCCAAAAATTCAGCCTGGCATTCTCTGCATGCAAAGCAGATTCTCACAGCCCCTCCTGTATCGTCATAACACTTCAATTTATCTACTCAGCCTTGCTGTCTTGAGGCAGGAGTCCCCAACGTGGTACCCATGGGCACCATAGTACCTGCTGACACATTTCTTGATGCCTGCCAAGTGTTTTTAGAAGGTGGATGATGGGGTCAGGTGGGATTGACTGTAGATTAAAATAACATTTGCGACCACAGTGTTTTTATTCTCTCACTCCCCTTCTCCATTGCATTTTTTAAATTACCCACCTTCTCCCCTTGCACTTTGACTTCCTTCCTCCACCTCCTGTGGCAGCCATTTTATGGTTGTGCCAGCCTACTACCCTGTGTCAGAATTCTTGAGTTGCTCACAGGCTCAGAAAGGTTGAGGACCCCTATCTTAAGGCACAGTCTGATAAGAGCAGTGTTTCTTATTAAATTAGGGCCTCCCACAGTGGAATCTATTAAATTTCAATTATTTTTGCTATCTTCTAGGTGGGGCCTGGAGGTCTTTTGGAATTACAACTGATTTCCAGACTACAGAATTCAGTTCTCCTGGAGGAAGCGGCACCTTTGAAGGGTGGACTCTTATGGAATGCCATCTCCGCTGAGCTGTGTCCCCTTCCCAAACTCTCTCCTCCAGGCTCTGCCCTCAAATTTGCGGGAACTTTCCAACCTGGAGCAGTAGAAAAGAGTAAGATCCCAGTAGCACCTTAAAGACGAACAAAATTTGTGCTAGGGTATGAACTTCTGTGAGTCACTGCTTACTTCTTCAGATTAATTTAGTGACTCACAAAAGCTCAAACCCTACCACAAATTGTGGTAGTCTTTAAAGTGCTACTGGACTCTTACTCTTTTCTACTGCTACAGACAGACCAACACGGCTACCTGTCTTGATCTATTTCCACCCTGGAGTTGGCAACCCTACTAACTGAAAATAACTAAACTCTCCTCAGATCTTACTGTAACCTCGTCCAACAGACCCATGGGACATCGATTATAACCTTGGGAAATCTGGCATTACAACCGAGCTTCAGATGACTATGGCTGCTTTGCAGGATGAATTCCATGGTCCTGTACTTCCCTGAGGTCCCACTCTAATCTCCACCCCCAAATCTCTAGGAATTTTCCAACCTGGAGTTGGTGCAGCTACACGAAGACAGATTCTGTTTGTTTTCTAACCACTGGGAGATTGAAAAGAAGTAGCAGGAAAATTCTAAAAATAATGCTTTCATTGAACAGCAGAATCAAAAAGGATTGGTAGTGTTGTTTTTAGGATTAAATACAAGATGAGTACAAGCTTCTTGTTTGTTTTATGTTAGTATGTCTTGTAAACTGTGATGTCTGTCCTCTTTTTTCTTTGTAGAAAACTAATAAAAACCTACTTTAAAAATGATTAAATACAAGATAACTATTAAAAACACATTAGGGGCACAGTACTGGAGGACCGGGTTAACCCTTTCTCTCCCGTTTCCCCAATCTATCTCCCCCAAGCTGCAGGCCCCCCCCCCCCCCCCCGCTGTCTGGGTAGGAACTGTTATAATGCTGTCTTGAAAGGAGCTTTAAAGGGGAAAAGGTGGAGCCACGTGAGTTCCCGGTGGGAGGGTGGAGTATTTCTATTTCCTTCCGTTCTGAAAATGGGGGGTGGGGGAGTGGACGATGTAACTGGAACGCTTGAATACTACATTTTGAATAGGAGCTAGCTCCCATGTAACAGTTGCTGAGACAGGAACGTTGTATAACTACAATGCAAGCAAAAAGACGACTTCAGGGAGACGCTGTTCTTTTGGGATGCATATCACCCACACAAACAAACCGAAGAAGATAGCTGTGTGTTTGGTCCGCAGCTAACTGAGAAAATTCTGGAGAACTCAAGAGTGTGCTATGCGTTCTGTAATTTTGGTTAATCTTAATAAAAGTTATCGTGTGAATCTGTCCCATCAGTTTCCCCAGAAATGGCTCAGATGTGTTTATCGTATCAACGGACACATGCACATGGTAGATGAAGCCGCATTCACAAGCACACGAGCATGAAACCCGCGACAGGGCTGAGCCGGTAGCTATGTTGACAGAGAAAAGAGAGATGAAGGGCCTCCTGCCACGTGCCTCCCAGAGCGAATAGTTGAAGATGAAAGAAGCACCCCTCCCCCCCCTTTCCTTTCCCCCCTGTCTCTGGTTTCCTGACACAGAGCCAAGCCCTCCCTCCCGTGATTGGATGACGGTTAGCGCGCGCACCCTTGCGTTCTCTTTATTGGCTGAGAGACCGGCCCGACATCTGCCGAGCCGTCTTCTCTAGGCATGCGAAACGCCGGCTGCAGTCAGTAGCCTCCTCATCTTCCTCAAGAGAAGCGCGTGCTGGCGTTCTGTGGCTGTTTATTTTGCCCGCTTTGCTACACCCCCCTCCCCCCGTTTAAATTTGGAATTGAGCCGGAGGGAGGACCAGGAGCTCATTAAGCAGACGCGGGGGGCGGAGCTAATGGGGGTGTGGAGCTCGGGGGCTGAGCTTTCTTTGGGTGGGGGTCGCCGGGCGTGGCACCGGTAAGGTGTGTGTGTGGGGGGGTGACCTTGGCTGGGGGGTGTGTGTGGAGGGACGCACGCCACGCACCCTGAAGGTGGAGGGCACCTGGCAGATGTGATTCAGGGGTTCTCGCCGGTGTGAGCAACAGAAGAAGGGCAGGAGGGAGGATTGCGGGCCGCAGGGCTTCCGGGCAGGGAGCCTCCCTAGGCTGGGTGGCCTCACAGCAGCTATTAAGCGAGTGAGCGGTGAAGCAAGCGGCTTGAGGAGTCATCCAGGTGCGGCAATGGGCGGGGAGGGGGCCGACATGGTGGAGGCTGGCGAAGGTGGCGAGGAGGAAGAGGGTGGGGAGACCGTGGTGCCGCTGCCACCCCTCCAGATGGACGGATGCGCCCTGCTTAGGGAGCCGGAGCACAGCAGCAGCTCCACGCCTCTGATAGGAGTGACTGATGCGGAGGTCATGCTGTCTCCCTCGGAACCGAAGGTGATGATGCCTCGATTGTCCAAGCGCAGGCTGGTGGTGCTGGCCGTGTTCAGCTTGTACTCCTTGGTGAATGCCTTCCAGTGGATCCAGTACAGTATATTGAGCAGTGTCTTTACAATCTACTATGGAGTGTCTACTCTTCAGATAGACTGGCTTTCCATGGTCTATATGGTAGTATATGTGCCTCTCATCCTGCCTGCCACTTGGCTGCTTGATACTCGAGGACTCCGTGTCACCGCCTTGCTGGGGTCTGGACTCAATGGCTTGGGTGCCTGGATTAAGTGTGCCAGTGTCCAGCGAAACCTATATCCGGTCACTTTGTTGGCACAGCTCATCTGCTCCATAGCACAAATCTTTATTTTGGGGCTGCCATCCCACATTGCTTCTGTCTGGTTTGGGCCGAAGGAAGTCTCCACTGCCTGTGCTGTAGCTGTGCTGGGCAATCAGGTGAGCAGCAAAGAAAAGTATGGGTAATGGTTGGGTTGAGGGTGTACCTGGGAGCAATGCTCCCTCTAAGCTGTGGAGTCTTGTGAGCAAAAATTCTACTTTGTAAGCTACTGGCATTAAAGTTGTGAGTGAGCAATTTGGCTGCTGCATAAATTAGTTTGCTCTGGAGCCATCCTTCTTGAGCTGAGACAAAAATGTGTGAGTCGGAGGCTAAAACACTATGAGCTAGTTCACACTAACTCATCTTAGAGGGAACACTGCCTGGGAGGGGTATGTATTAAAGGAAATAAATACACATGTTTGAGTGGGGGCATGTTGTGTACTTATATGGTTTATAGCCAGAATGAATGTGCTAGTCAGCTTCATTTACCAACAAGACAGGGATGTTTAGTTTTCAAAAAGGAATTGGTAATCGCCTAGATTTCTTGATGTAGTTTTGTGAGATTTAGTGGCAGTAGTAGTCCTATTCCCTTTGCACTCCCCGCCCCTTGTTGTGGAATTTCATGCTAAACTATGCAGCGTCATCTTGAACTTTTTTAGAAATAATATTGTGAAAACAGAAGACTGGGCTGAAGCTTGAAATGATTCTGTGACTTCTGCCATTCATTTGGAAATCAAATTTATACTTTGCACTTAAATTTGCCTGCTTTCATTAATTTCTGCTTAGTATTTTAGCTCTTCAGTTGCAAAGTTTTCGTTGCTTTAGAACTAGTAAAATGGAGATGCTGATACAGTTCAAAAAGTGTCAAACATTCAGAGAATGACTGGGCTAATGTTTGTGCAAGGCTTTATTTATTTATTAGTCTTAAGTTCCCACATAAAACTGGGACATACAGTTTCTCCTTCATCAGTGTTCTGAATGTACCATTTCATTTTAATCTGGGGAAGTCTAATTTATGTAAACACTGTGAGTTTAGAGAAATCTATCAGACACATTGCTCTTCAAGGTGAGGAAAGAACACTTTCCTCTTATTTTGTTTATAAAGTGCAGTGCTCTAAAAACTTTTTTGTGTTTTTATTTTTACAGCTAGGCACAGCAATTGGTTTCCTCTTGCCACCTGTTTTAGTTCCAAACACAGAAGATGACCTTGACCTCATGGGACGTAACATCAGCATCATGTTCTATGGCACAGCAGCAGTATCAACACTCCTGTTTCTACTAACAGCAATTGGTATGTAAAATTACATATGAAGAATTTGAACTTAGTGTGAGGAGGGATAAGAGCACAAATTGTGGAAGGGCTTGTAGACCAAGTGCAGTTTTCTACCATAGAAATGTGACCTCCAATCCTACCACAATTTTATATGTAGTAAAAGAATCCTAGCCTAATTAGACTTTACGCAACTTTTGTTGTTGTTTTGGGGGAAGCATTTCATTTAGTAGGGAAGGCATATGGAAAAGTCATGTGCAACAGAACTTGTCTAATTCCCTTTTAAAACCAGTAAATTTATGTTAACCGATTCCTTTCGATCAGAGGTTCCCAAACTTATTTGTCCTACTGCCCCCTCTTCATTAAAAAAAAATTATTCAGTGCCCCCCTGGAAATCTACCTTCAAGAAGTGGACAAAAAGATACAGTGACAAATTTGCACATAGTAAAGAAAGATGTTGTTGTAAGTAAAGAAAGATGTTGTTGGCCTGAAGCCAGAGGCCAGCAGCAGCCACCACCCAATAGCCCAGCAGCAACACCAGTCTTACAATCACATGCATTTGCAATTTGCTGTGATTGGCTGTGGAGACCCTTCTCCACCTCTTCCTCCCTCCCTGATCCCAGAGAAGACCAGGGGAAGGCAGGAAAAGGCTGCTTTAGATAGGTTCTGGACTCTTCTTTCTTTATGCTTCCACCGCCCCCTTATTTTTATTCAAGGCCCTCAATTGCACCCAAGGTGCCTACCGCCCACCTGGATCGTTCCTGTGCCCCCCAGGAGGCGGTATTGCCCACTTTGGGAACCAATGCTTTAGATTAAAGTTGAATGAAATCTGTATGGAGCTGGACCTCATGCACAGACACTCCTGGAGAGACCTGTACTGAAAGTGAGCTCTTTCTCGGAGGGGCAGCTAGAGGCATTACTGGAATCACTAGGAAGTCCAGTTACCATCCAGTCCCAGTGGGCTGCCTATAGGTGAAAGGGGAGGGGCTGTGGCTCTTTGTATGCAGAAGGTCCCAGGTAGTAGGCGATGGGAAGACCTGAGACCCTGGTGAGCTGCTGCCAGTCAGGGTAGACAGTACTGACTTTGATGGATGATGATCTGACTCTGTATTAGGCAGTCTCATGTGTGAAAGATCCCTTCCCCAATCCCTTTCATTTCAGGGCGAGTGCCACAGCCAGACTTCCCCTTTACTCTTACGCATGTTCCAGGGCATAAAAATCAGTAAAAGAAAGAAAAAGGTTTTTCAGTGAGAAATATAAAGGTAGAAGGCTGATGGTTAAAGTCCACATATGACTACACCTGTGTGGTAGAATGATACAGAAGGCACTTATTGAGGCTACTACATGGAGTGAAGAGGGCCAGGAAAGAATTCATGAGGTAGGAGTGACTGGCTGGGAAGGAGTCCATGTGTTAATCACTCTTTGGGTGAAGAAGATACTGCCTTTTATCTGTTCTAACCCGACTGCTCAGCAATGTCATTGAGTGCCCACGAGTTCTTGTATTGTGAGAAAGGGAGAAAAGTACCTCTTTCTCTACCTGCTCTATCCCATGCATAATCTTATAAACCTCAGTCATGTCACCCCTCAGCCGTTGTTTCTCCAAGCTAAAGAGCCCCAAGCGCTTTAACCTTTTTTCATAGGGAAAGTGTTCCAACCCTCAACCACTCTTTGCCACCCCCACCCCCACTGGAGCACTTCTGCTGGTTTGCCTCATCTCACTCCCAGACCTGAGCTGTTGCTTTAAGATCGGCTGCTGGGCAGGCATTGTATTACTACTGCCTAAGGAGTCAACAATGGGGCAACTTGGGGTGGGGAGGAAGATAATGGCAAAGAGTAGAGCTGGAGACAGGTGGTGCAAGTGCTTACAATTTAGAATGTTTCTCTCTGTACTAGAGGTATAAGGTTTCTGGAAATTATATAAGCAGTGCATATTTTCTGATCAAACTTCAACTTAGTTTGCTGCTTTAAGAATATAAAGTGCATAATATTTAAGTTTGCATGAAATTGTATTATTTATGAAGTTTAAAAAGTTAATTTCTTTCAAGCAAAATTGCCAATATACCCAGAACTACAATGAGAGCTGCAGATTCCTGCACTGCATCCTATGTTACCTTAACATGTATTTTTGCCATTTGGGAGGCGGAAGATGTTGAAAATGGCAAAATAGTGTACTTGGATAAACAGTATTGTGCACATTACTAGCACATTTGGGTACTGAGTTACTTAAATGTTGAAACTGAATATCAATAGTTTAGTGTAATATCATTAATAAAGCATATGCAATTATATTTTATTTATTTATTTTTAGATTTATATCCCGCCCTCCCCGAAGGCTCAGGGCGGCTAACAGCGAGGCATAAGTGCCAAAGTTAAAATAGATAAAAACAGCATAAAACAGAATAAAACAATATAATACAAGCAACAAAGTGTCAGTGCTCCATTTGTCACAAGATGGGGTAGATCTTAATCCAACGGCAACGTTCCAGTAGCCTGTCATCCCTTCTCCTTCCAGGGTCATCTCGCACCCCGATGGAGCCACATAGTGGTGGTAGTGGTGTGATGATGCATAAATAGCAGTGGTGGAATAGTGGTGGCAGCGGCTCCTACTCAAAAGCCTGGCGGAAGAGCTCTGTCTTACAGGCCCTGCGGAACCGAAAAAGGTCCCGCAGGGCCCGGATCTCCTTCCACCAGGTAGGAGCTGCCACCGAAAATGCCCTGGCTCTGGTAACAGCAAATATCCCTGGGGCCATGACTTTCCAGGAGATGTTGGCTCCCCGACCATAGTGCCCTTAGAGGAACATATGGGGAAAGGCGGTCCCTTAGGTAAGCCGGACCCTGGCCATACAGGGCTTTAAAGGTAAGAACCAGCACTTTGAAGCGGATCCAGTACGCTATTGGCAGCCAGTGCAGTGCTTTCAGCACAGGCTGAATGTGATCCCTCCTAGAGAGACCCATCAGCAGCCTGGCTGCAGCATTCTGCACTAGCTGCAGCTTCCAGATTTGCGACAAAGGCAGCCCCAAGTAGAGAGCATTACAGTAGTCTAGCCTCGAGGTGACTGTTGCCTGGATCACTGTGGCCAGGTCATCGCGGTCAAGGAAGGGGACCAACTGCTGAGCCAGCCGAAGATGGTAAAAGGCCGACTTGGCAGTGGCTGCCACCTGGGCCTCCATTGTTAAAGAGGAGTCCAGGAGCACACCCAAACTCCTAACCTCCACCCAGCCACAGCCTGTAACGCCCGATGAAGGTCATCCGGGGCAGAGTTCAATCGGCTGCCCAACATCAGATAGAGCTGGGTGTCATCTGCATATTGATGATGACACCCAAGCTCACAACTCTGGGCAATCTGGGCAAGGGGGCGCATGTAGATGTTAAACAACATCGGGGACAGCACAGCCCCCTGAGGCACCCCACACTCAAGGGAATGTCTCCGGGACCGCTGATCCCCTATCGCCACCCTTTGTCCCCGACCTTGGAGAAAAGAGGCAAACCATTGAAGGGCAAGCCCCTGAATCCCCACATCGGTGAGGCAGTGGGCCAGCAACTGGTGGTCGACCATGTCAAACGCAGCCGACAGATCTAACAACACCAGTGCCGCCACACCACCCCGATCCAGATGCCTACGGAGGTCGTCAGTCAGGGCGACCCGCACCGTCTCTGTCCCATGACCTGGGCGAAAGCCGGACTGGTAGGGATCGAGGACAGAAGCATCATCCAGAAAGCCCTGTAGCTGTAACACCACCGTCCTCTCAATAAGTTTGCCCAAATAGGGCAAATTGGACACCGGTCGATAGTTGGCCAATTTGGCCAAGTCCAAAGATGGCTTTTTCAAGAGAGGGCGGACCATCGCTTCCTTGAGTGCTCCAGGGAACCGTCCCTCCGAGAGGGACATGTTGATAATCTCCCGCAGGGCACCTCGGAACCCCTTGTGGCCCACTTTAATGAGCCAGGAGGGGCACGGATCAAGGTTGCATGTGGTTGGACGCACAAATACGAGCAATCTGTTAACTTTCTCCAGACTGAGTAGGTCAAAACGCTCTAAACCCGGCACCAAAGGCGTGCAAGGGACCTCAAGTTCACTCAGTGTTTCAATTGTGGCAGGGCGCCAAGACTTTGTCTGCAAAATAGCTTGCAAATGCCTCACAGCCAATATCCAGTTCCCTAACATTTTGCCTGCCCTGTGGCAGAGCTGTCAAATACCAAATTGTACTAAATAATTGGGCCGGGCGTGAGCTAGCAGATGCCAGCACTCCACCAGCTCATCCCGCAAGGCCATCTGGAGCCGCATTGTATCCATTTGGCACCGCGGATGTGCAAGAATCCGCGCGCCGGCTAAACAAGGTCAGGGTGGAACATTCAGACGGGCCTTCAGGGCCAGGTGGTCCGACCATGGCATTGCCTCTGCAGTGATCCGGTCCACCGTCACCCCCGCCGTGAAGATCAAATCGAGCATGTGACCGGCCCGATGCATGGGAGCTGAGACAAATTGAGAGAGTCCCATTGCCGCCATGGACGACACCAGGTCCATAGCCCGGCTGGAGGTCGTGTCCTCAGCATGGACGTTGAAGTCACCCAAGACAATCAGCCTAGGGTGCTCCAATGCCCAGCCTGATACGGCCTCCAGCAGGGACGACAGGCTACTGGCCGGTGCGTTAGGCGGTCAGTACACCAACCAAATTGCCAAACTCTCATCAGCCTCCAGCATCAAACGCCACACTCAATGCCTGCGATCTGTGAGGCATTTTTTTTTACTGTATTACTACAAGATCTCTTTAGTGTATAATAAAGTTGTTTAATATCATATTATTGCAAAATTAGATGAGATTATTTAAACAATAAGTAGATCTTTGAAAATATGTTTGTCTACCCTATATTCAGGAATAATTTCCTAATGCCAGTTTATTTAAAAATCTTCATACTTCACACTTTGTGAGTAAAGCCTTGTCTTAAAGAGAATTTCTTTCCCTCAGAGAAAAGAAGTGTTTTTTAAATAATTTTTAACTTTTCTGTTGGACAACTTGGG